AACACCTCCTTTTCCGATTCACTTTTTCCATCCAGGTTGCAAAATCCTCGTTGAAAGTAACGCGCGTCCGGAGCTATAAAATGCATATGTTTTATTAAACGGGGAGGGAGGAGGGGAGGAGGGAGGGAGGGAGCAAGCGGCGCGAGCGCTGCAAGCGGCGGCGAGCGGATCTGGGCATCCCTCTGTGCTCAACCCGGAGGACGGGCGGGCGGGCGGACGGGCAGGCAGGAGCAGCAGCCCAGGGGCGGGGCCTGCAAGACTCTCTTAACTCCCCCCCTCCCCCGAGTATGGGAAAGGAGGCCGGTGGGAGGAGTCACCGCCTCCCCTGTGAGCGAGCCGGAGCAAAAGAAAGCAAGCGCCTGATTGGCCGCGGCGCCGTTCGGCTGGGCTGGAAAAGAAAGGGAAGGCGGATCGCTCTGCGGGATCCCCAATGGCCGCTCGCTTTCTTTCCTCCCTCCCACAAGCCAAGGGGAGGATCAGAGCGGTCCGGGGGAAAATTAGGGCAGCGGTTCAAAGCGGTCTGGAAGTCCATTCTGCCCTTTATGGGAGCCACCAGATGGGGGCTTAACCCATATGTAAGGGTGCACGTATGTCAGTGATAGCGAGCCTTTTAGAGACCGAGTGCCCAAACTGCAACCCATAACCCTCTTATGCATGGTCGACTGCCAGGTGGGTGTGGCCCGTTGGGAGGGCGTGGCCCATTGGGTGGGCGTGGTTATGGTGGTAACGGCAGACTGGGTGGAACTAAAAAGTTCAATCAATCAATTCCAACTTTGCAACTTTTTTTCCCCACGAGAAGTTGAAATAATAATAATAATAAAGTTGGAAGGGACCTTGGAGGTCATCTAGCCCAACCCCCTGCTCAGGCAGGAAACCCTATACCTGGGGTAGGCAACCTTGGCTCTTTTATGACTCGTGGACTTCAACTCCCAGAATTCCTCAGCCACTCATGCTGAGGAGAAAGGGAGAGGTTTCCATGCTGAGCCATGCTGGCTCAGGAATTCTGGGAATTGAAGTCCACGAGTCATAAAAGAGCCACAGTTGCCTACCCCTGCCCTATACCATTTCTGACAAATGGCTGTCGAGTCTCTTCTTTAAAAAAATTGACTGATTGAACTTTTTTTTTGCACACGGGGGCGGAGGCCTAAAGCGAAAAGGTTTTATAAAACCCAGCTGAAGGCCTAGGACTGGGGCGACGGTGCTGTGTGCTCACAGAGAGGGCTCTGAGTGCCGTCTCTGGCACCCGTGGCATAGGTTCGCCACCCCTGACCTATGTTGTATATAGCATGCTTATACGTTTGTGTTTTTGTATGTTGTACACTTTTAAGATCAGGCAACAGAATTTCATTTTTAAATGTGTGTCAGTGTGCCCACACTAAAAAATGATAGTAAAGGTACCTTACCACTTTCTACAGAGGGACCATTGAGAGCATCCTGTCATATTGCATTACTGTCTGGTTTCGAAGCATCACTGCCTCAGACAGGAAGGCGGTGCAGAGAGTGGTGAGGATGGCAGAAAAGGTTATTGGCAGTTCACTCCCTTCTATCCAGGACATGACATGTAAGCGATGCTTGAACAAGGTTTACAGCAGTGGTTCTCAACCTGTGGGTCGGGACCCCATTTGGGGTCGATCGACCATTTCACGGGGGTCGCCAAGCAAGGCTGTCCGCCATTTTTTTTGTCCGCCATTTTTTCCCCTTTTCCGGCGGGTGCCTTACCTCCCTTGGGCTGGGCCAGCTGGTGGTCGGCCTGCTCCGTCTCTGCCCCTTGCCAGCTATGCCTCAGCCGGCGCAGGGGGCGGAACCACGCATGCACGGCACTCCTGGGCAGGGAAAGTCCTCGACGTACGACCGGTTGGGTAGTCCTTGACTTACGACCAGTTTAGTCCTCGACTTACGACCGGTTTAGTCCTCAACTTACGACCGGTTGGGGTCGTGGCATTAAAAAGGTTGAGAACCACTGGTTTACAGGATTGTCTGGGATTCTACACCTCCTCTTCATGACTTGTTTTCCTTGTTACCTTCTGTGAGGAGGCTTCGTGGTATCCGAAGCAGAACATCCAGATTCAGTCACAGTTTTGTTCCATTCAGTATCAACCTTGTGAACTCTCAAGCTTCCTCTTTCCACTATGTATCCAAGATGGACAGTGATTAATATTTATATGCATTTATATGTAAGGGTGTAGGTATGTAGATATGTATGTGTATAGTATGTCTATAATTGTTATGTGTACACTTTTGAGAGCAGGCAACAATTTCACTTTAATGTGTGCCAAGTGTGCCAACAGTAAAAAAAAATGACAATAAAGGTTACTGTATCTTATCTTAAAAATTTGGGCGACTCTGAAGGGAGAATCAGTCTTGGTTTCCACCCCAGGTTTAGCAGTCGATCGTGTTTTTGCACTTCAAGTCATCTAAAACCTCTTTTGCGGAAGGTTATGATGCCTTTTTCAAATAAGGAAAAAAGTTGCTAAGGTGCTTTTCCCAAAGGCAACTGGACTTTGTTTTTCTTTGAAGACATTTCGCTTCTCATAAAGAACTGAAGCTTCTTGGATGAGAAGCAAAATATCTTTGAAAGCACCTTTATTTACCTTTGGGACAATCATGACCTGGATGACTGAGGATCTCCACAGACATCTACTCCCTGCTCGTGGGTCGCTGGTTCCTCCATACTCTGGCACCAGTTTGGGGGATATTTTCATAGTTCATCTGAAGAACATCAGATTGAAGATCTCCAGCATTTAGGACAAAAACCTCTGTCCAGTTTCACCATAGGCCAGGGTTTGCAATAAATGGGGAGGGGGGGAGAGAAACTGCCCTAAGCTACTCCATTTCAATTATCTCCTGTATTTTACACAGGTTTTGTATTTGTTTGTATAAAGCTCTGGGTGGTATACAATATGAAAGCAAACACTACAAAAGAAGAGTGCCTAGGGAAAAAATGAACACTCCTAAAAGCCAGTCGTGGCACAAAGGAACCCACCGTTCATTCTAGATGCAGACTGGATTGCACTGTTACACATCAATATTTTACATTTTTCTAAATAATTAACATGAAGGCAGTGCCAGAAGCACTGGGAATGGTCTAGCTAAAACGTGATGGCTCACTTAGAAAAGTCAAACTGCAGCTGGATACTGTACACAAATATGCTGACCTGGTTTATTTACTTGGCTTTGGATTAGCGTGTTGTGCAAATTCAGCCGTGCTTTTTTTTTTTTTTTTAATGATGAAAGCTTTACAGTACTGGCAGTTTTCTCATCCCTGATCATCCAAATCACAGCATTTGGAGCGGACTTCCCCCCCCCCCATCCACACAACCCTGAGATCACTTTCCTAGTTATTCATCCAATTAGATTACATGAGGAATTAGATTTATGCACTCAAAAGTTGTATTTACTATTTTACCTAGCTTATAAAAACCATTTAAAGCTAACTCCTGCTACACTTATCTCCCTGATCTAACATTCAATATTGCAGACCCCAGCTTACTAAAAAACTAGACAATTTGGACATGAACCTTTCTTGTTAAGCAGCAGAGGGCAAAATCAAAAGGAGAAGCTGTAGTTTATAATAAACTTTGAAGAAATATTTTGAAGATTAAAGACAGTTGAGTATTAGGTATGTTCTAATGCAGGGGTGTCAAAGTACTGGCCCATGGGCCGGACGCGTCATCAGTAAACCGCGCCCACCTCATTGCCGGCAATGGAGAAAAAGCTCCGATATGTCGCGCGACATCACGTGGCGTCGCGAGTTTGACATGTCTAATGGAAAACAAAGATTCTTTAGCATTTCCCATGGTTCTGGGCAACTTTCATAGCCTTCAAACTGGGATCACATCTGTTATAGCCTTATCCTCCATGCTGGAAATTTCAGAATGAAGGCAATAGAAGAGTTTCCTTTTTTGTCCTGTGAAAAAATACCTGGAGTAACATTTCATGCCAGGTAGTTCTCAATTTGCAACAGTTTGTTTACTGACCAAAGTTACAAAGAGACTGAAAAAAAGTGATTTATGACCGTTTTTCACACGACCGTCGCAGCAGCCCATGGTCCTGTGATCAAAATTCAGATGCTCGGCAATGGGTTCATATTTATGACAGTTGCAGTACCCCGCCCTTTTGCGACCTTCTGATAAAGCAATGTCAACGGGGAAACCACATCCACTTAACAACTGTGTTACTAACTTAACAACTCTTGTAATTCAGTTAACAGCTGTGGCAAGAAAGATCCTAAAATGGGACAAAATTCACTTAACGAAAGTCTCGCATAAACTTTGGGCTCAATTGTGGTCGTAAGTTGAGGACTACCTGTACTGTAGTATCCCCAGCCCTGGTGAGTTTTTAATCACTTGCATTTATAAGGAATGTCAACAGTTATGCAGAGTGACTCTCAATGGGCACAATCTCCATATCCACATACTATGGACAGCTCCTCAGTACCAATCTAGAAACAACAGTGATTATTTTAATCTTCGACAAGTGAGATTTGGAGCTACGGTTGCAACTAGTACATGTAACTGGAAAAAAAATACCATTTATAATTAGCATCAAGAGTAATTTATTTTGTCCATTAAGATTTTAACATATTTATATATTACATAACATTTAGAGCATTACAAAGCTTGTACAAACAGAAGTAACACTAAAAATTAGTGCAATAAAAAAAACCACGAATGCTATTTCAATTGAGCTAATAGAACCAAAAATATCTTGTCTCCAAAGGAATTTGATGATACAGTAAAACGTCACATGCAGTTCAACATATATACATGATTTGATTAAAGGACATTGGGATAAATTAAGATATTTGTATTCAATTTACAGAAAAAAATATGTATTTTTCAAAAGATCACATAAATAATCTGACAGATTAGGCTGTTTCTTTTTTAAACTCATTGGATCCTGATAGTTGTTAAAGAGGACAACCACAAGAGAGGAAAAAGCAAGCATGCAGTAGGATGACTGTCAGGCACACTGGCCCCTCCATTTGCCTTCTTTAATTCTTGTTCTCAATGTATTAAAAGGCTAAGGCTTCTCTTCCATATGGGTAAAAATCTAGAAATGCTACATTAGATAAAGCTTACTGTGCATATGTAATATTTGGTCTCACATTAATTTCCAATAGGATTTCAGGGATTTGACGATATTATGAAATTATGAATTCATATGGATTGAAGGCTGCAATTTCTCTTGTCATTGCCTGAAAATGGAAAAGAGAATACATAGTATAATTAGCTGTGTAACCTCCTTCTGTTGTTGAACTATAGTTTTGAATTGTAATTTGTGTTGCACAGGTTTGGTGGGGGCAAGCAGTCATTATTTTCTATTTCCCTTCAAGGACAGATTCTTTTCTTAACTCATGGAATTTCAGGGTGGCTCTTCTGACTTTTGGCTAAAACAAGCCAGAATGATGGTTCTCTGGCTTGTTTGCCAGATACCAAGCCATAGCTCAAATTACCAGCTCCTGTTTTGTTGGAAGAAACAAAACAAGACGGGACTGACATATTAAAACAGTGTTTCTCAACCTTGACAATTTTAAGGCATGTGGACTTCAACTCCCAGAATTCCACAGCCAGCAATGCTGGCTGTGGAATTCTGGGAGTTGAAGTCCACATGCCTTAAAATTGTCAAGGTTGAGAAACACTGTATTAAAAGAACAATGAACCGTCTGCTATTTATTCACAGTCACTACTCAGCTATCAAAGCAATGTCATTTCCAAAATCTCAACATTTAACAGAGAAAAAGAAAAGTTAGATATAAAGAAACATTATTATTTTGGAGAAATCAACCAAGTTTCCGTGATTTGGAGGCAAATTCGAATCATGAGAACATTTTTGACCAATTAACACCTATAACTAAACCAAAAGGCGGTAAATTTTAACTCTAAACTTTCTGTTGTGTCATGCAAGCTATGTACTGGATGGGTCACCATTCTTTCCCACTCTCATGTCAGAGATTAACCTCTATAGAGCCCTCACAGAAGGACAGTTTCTCTAGAACAGTGGTTCTCAACCTTTTTAATGCCGCGACCCCAACCGGTCCTAAGTCGAGGACTAAACCGGTCGTAGGTCGAGGACTACCCAACCGGTTGTAAGTCGAGGACTTTCCCTGCCCGGGAGTGCCGTGCATGCGTGGTTCCGCCCCCTGCGCCAGCCGAGGCGTAGCTGGCAAGCGGCAGAGACAGAGCAGGCCGACCACCAGCTGGCCCAGCCCAAGGGAGGTAAGGCACCCGCCGGAAAAGGGAAAAAAAATGTACAAAAAAAATGGCGGACAGCCTTGCTTGGCGACCCCCGTGAAATGGTCGATCGACCCCAAATGGGGTCCCAACCCACAGGTTGAGAACCACTGCTCTAGAAACTTTGTCCCTTTCGGATTCTGCTGCAAAAGCCACATGAGGAAATTTTTAAAAAGGCAGAAAAGAAAGGATAAATCTCTCATGAGCATGCTACAATGTTGCTGACGCTATGCATTGATTTTTCTTTTTTCATAAACTATTGGTTTGCACCTAAAGATGTATTCAAAGCATTTTTCCTTATAATGAATTGCGCATATGTTTTAAATATTTAGATACGTTGATGAAACATTACACAGAGGGATAAGATATAAAGCAGCAGTCCCCAACCTTTCCGCCTTGGTGTCCCAGCATGGAGGCGGGGGGTCTGGGGAGATAGTTCCATGTGAGTGGCAGGTGTGCACACACGAACAGCTCCATTTGTGTGAATGGCAGGCGAGAGTGAATTGAAGTTCCTGCCACTTGCACACGCGGAGCTTTGTGCTCAAGCACCCGCCACGAGCTGTCCGGTTCCAAACAGGCCATGGCCCAGCAGTGGGCCGCAGCCCGGGGGTTGGGGACCCCTGATATAAGGCAATCTCATTTAAAGGCATCAGCTGTCAGTAATGATTTAAAGCTGAAGAGTTTGTTATAGCAAAGGCTTAACGAATATCAAACTGCTATAGAATAGCTCACCACACAGGGAAACAAAATATATGCAAATACAAGAGAGCCAACAAGATGTTTATAGATTGTAAAAAGCACAATGAAGCTTGTTTGCCCCAAATGTAAAGTGACAAAACTTGGAATCACGTGTCCCAATAAATGCAAATGTATAATTACTCTTTTGACTTTTTTTTCCCAAACGACAGACTAATGCACTAGTACAGTGGTGGCGAACCTATGGCACGGGTGCCAGAGGCGGCACTCAGAGCCCTCTCTGTGGGCACGTGCGCCGTCGCCCCACTCCTAGGCCTTCAGCTGGGTTTTATAAAACCTTTTTGCTTTAGGCCTCCACTGCCGTATGGAAAAAAAAAAAAAA